CTGTAATGGACCCTGTTGGTCTCTATTGGTAATTGGTCGCCTTTTATTGGTGGCTTTTTAAAACCTCTAAATCCTAATGGAATATGTCCTAAAGCACACTACAGAAAACCATTTTTTAATGGTTGTAATGGTTAAAAGTTGATGGTTTGTAATGTTTGTAATGGTATTTATAGTGGAAACCATTACAATTTCTGTGATGGTTTCCATTGTTTTTTCAGCAGGGAGGAAGGATAGGCCTAGTTTGTGGCTTGGTCTTAGTGACTTAAGAGTCCTCTTCACTACTCCTAACATTTCACAGATTTAGTAGCTAGTTTTAGTGCTAAAACGCTTTGTGAAATACTCTTAGTTTCCCAATTGTAAATGTCTTTGCTCAGTCATTCATGTGCTTGGAGTTGGTAATTAAATTGCCATCTTATCTTGCCATGTTGTGAAAAGGTAAAAAAAAAAATCCTGTCAAATAAACTGCTTCTGGTAAATTACACTATACACACACTGACTCTGATTTAGGTATACAAATATAGGTCAGAACTTTATGAAATAATATTGTATGCCTCCCTCATTTTTTACTTTAATGTATCGAAATAGGTATGAATAAATGTTTCATTTTCAGTAGATTTTCTAGATCGTGACGTTTTTGTTTTTTTTAAGTTTTTCAAATTTTACTTCCAATATTTTTAGTAGAAGCACCAGTGTTGTATGACATGGATCAGTAAATTCTCTTTTTTTCCTCAGTAATGATCGGAAGCCCCTTGAGGAAGGTGTGGATCCCGCTGTCTGTGTACAAGGAGGTGTTTAAGGAGCTGGAGCCCCAGAAGGCTGTAGTGCCGGTGCTTCACGCTCTCTTCCCCATCAGCACACTGTCCTGCAGTGCCGTCACAGGAAACCCTGCAAAAGGCATCCAGCAACTCGACCCCAACAAAATAGAAGCCCTTCGAGGTAAATACAGTCTCTTCAAGTACACACGTTTGGGACTGAGGTTGATCTCTGGACGGACTCTAGGAGTAGGCTACAACTAATCAAACTAATATTTTTTCTTATATATAACAGTCAGTAATAGAAGATGCTGAACCAGAAAATATTGTTCATGAAACTCAAGTGGGATCATACTAAATATCAAGCTATATAAGCTGTATTCTCTTTTTTTATTTATTTTTCTTAAAGGGGTGGTTCAGTGTTTTTTTTTTCAAGGCTGGATTGTGTTTATGGGGTGCAGTCTAACATGTGTTAATGCTTCGTTTTTTTTAAAGCATGTGCTCCGGTTGTATTGTAAACAACGGCGTAGTTCATATCGCTTATCAGTTTGAGCCCGATTGAGAAGCAGAGGATTGTGCAGAACCTGTGCAAGCACGGCTTTTAATGGTAGGCCTATATTTTTTGTTTGTTGTTGTCTCATACTTTTAGATATGCTGTTATTTGTAAATGCTACTGCTTATGTTAGCATTTAATATACGGTTTCATCCTGATTAAAGCTTTAATACAGTACGGCAACTGCACGCGCATCCATGTTTAAAATAAGTGTATAATTGGAGCAGTTCATTGTTGGAGCTGAGCTGAATGAGAGAGAGAGAGATGCAGATGTGCAGAGCGCGAGGAACAGTATTAAGAACCGCTGCTTTAGAACATTGATTTTGAAATTGTGAATCCATAATCCATTATTAGAAGACAGAATTGCGATTCATATATGAATAGATTTTTATGTGCATCCCTAGTTCCTTCTCTAAAGCAGCACAACATGGCCTCGCCCCCTTTGCTGCATGTTCCTCGGGGGCGGGGTTTATCTGGGTTTGTGACGTCACGAAACCGGGAAGTAACTAGTTAAGAAGTCATACTGCCTTGACACTGAAAAGTAGAGCACTTGCAGTGAATTCACTTCCAACTATGTGTGTTCCATGCAGATCTGGGTCTGTTTTCACATCAAATGACAGTGATAACTCACGACTGTGCACAAATGTCACTGATTCCTAAACCACTGCATCCAAATAGCACAATAAACCTTTTTTAAAGATCGAAATGGTTGTAATAGGGTAGACATGTAATGTCATTTTGTTCAGAAGAGTGAATGCGTGTTCTTCCTGCCTTGTACCAGACAAAGTTTAATCTGTACTTTATTATAATTTTTATTGAGTGATTTTAACCTCTGCTTTAAACCGCGGAAAAGAAGTTGTTTTGTTGTTGTTGTTTTAGAATGTAATGTTTATATTTTAACCCATTTTTTCCACATCATAGCCTACACAGATACACTCGCTATATTTGTTTTTTTATCCGAATAATGAGAGAAAAACGTTCACTGCAGATGGCAGATGGATATTTGTAGGCCGGTGCACTGATTGCTCAGATATGGCACAGCAGTGGCGTCACATGACAGAGTCAGCTGAGAGCATGTGTTACAAACAGGAAATGGAGGGTGGGGTGAGCTGCAGAACTAGAACAAAGACACACACTCACACTCTCTCACACATTCAGATGCCCAAAGACACGGCTGATTACTGTTATATGCTCACCTCTGAGAGTTTTATTAATTTGGGTAAGACAATGCTGGTCTACACTGAATTAAAAACAGTCTAACCCTCCTGAAGGGATTTGTGCGATATAATTAACTAACTTTGTTTAAAGAATAATGTAATTTTTTTCCACATCAGTCTACACCCCTTAAAGTCACAATATGTTAAGTGTCTTTAGCAACTATATAGTAACATGTAAATGAATCATTTGACAGAGATGCAAACAGGTAAGGAGGAAAAAGGGTAGAACATTGCTAGGATCGGGGGCATGCTCCACACGGAGTTTCTTTTAAAGATATTTATTTACATGCTGTTTTGTAGTTACTTTAAGGTTTTTTGTTTACCTTATAAGTCCAAAAACTGCGAAAACCTACCCGTACCACTCAAATTAGAAAACATTATTATAAACTAACCGTTCTGAATTGGGCTAAAGTAAGGCAATAGTTTTGAACACTGGCTGGTTATGTACTTGCTCAAATATTGAATTTGGATCATTTTAAACCAAAAAAAAAGTTACAGACTGCAGCTTTAAGACAATATTGGCTGATTAGACAGCAACGCTGACCTAAAATGCAAAATGTTTGCCCTCTCTCTCTTCACCGTTCCCACATCTCAGACCTAAAAAACATATAATATTACCCTTGTTAGACAGTTTTAGAAGTAAAGAGTAAAGAAAATACTATGCAAAACTTATTGAAATAACAGTTCCAGGGCTGGCAAAATTTCAAAATCCCTGGTAGCCCTTCGGGCAGGCATTCTTCAGATTTTGGCAGCCCAAAAATGAATTTAACTAGCCCGAATAAAAGATATTGTATTTTTTCTTCAAATAACAAGTCAAGGGAGTAGGGGTGCAACGGATCACAAATCTCACGGTTCGGATTATATTACATTATCATAGGCCTGGGCGATAAAACGGTATCGATATTCATCGACGGTACTCCTCCTTCGATGACGATATAAAAAAATTTCGATATAGGCACGTGCTATGAGTGACGCAGACAGCAAACACGAATACATGCTGTAATGCCTGCCTGTGATGAGGAGATTGTGAATAAAAAAATGAATATTAGTCGAATTAAAATAAACATTTGCATTAGAATGCAAAAATAGTACAATCGAATGTTATGTGTGCGTCAGGGAGCGTCATCAGTGGAGCACGAGATGTGGTGATGATGATGTAAGTGACGTTGTAGTTTAATGTTTATTATATTTGATTTATATGAGTTAATTTAGACGTAATGCACGTTTTTTTTTTTTTATAGACCGTTACTTCCTTGTGTTGACAATTTAATGCGCTGCATTATTTTGCTCATTGCGCCCTCCTGTTGCCTCGGGAGACAAGACAAAAGTTTAACCTATTTAATCCGCATATAAAACATTAGAAATTAGATATTTGTTTCATTTTTATTTTGTGTTTGACTGTTAAAACAAAAAAAATTGTTGTTTGTCTCAATAAGTTAATTAAAAAATACAGTGGTTACATGTAAACATTTTTTTTCTATTGCTGTTTTTTAAAAGAGGTTATAAAAATGTCAATAATTATCGATACCGAACGATATGAAACATTATATCGTTGATACATTTTTTTAACTATATCGCCCAGCCCTAGTTGTGCACAAAAAAAAGTGTTTAGTCATTGCTCCGAAAAGGCTTTAATTATTTTTTATGCGTTGATGCATAAACGTTTGAAAATCGGGTTTTTTTCAGCCCAGTTTAGTCCCAGATTTGATTTGTGTGCCATTACCCTTACTAAATGGCATAAAAGTATTTATTGTTTACAAATAGTATTTTTTTTATTCCTGTATGTACGCTCAGAGTTTCTTGCTGAGATGTACCCACAGTTTGACGTCGGCGTGAGGGGCGTGACGTGGGCACAGTGTCTTGGAGTGATAAACAACATCACCAAAGACCTCAAGAAACAAGCAGAAAAAACATCACATCTGCCAATAGAGGTGTGTTTCTCCATCAGGCCTGCTAGTTCTCTGCTAGCACTTATTTTACCTTCAAAATATGTTTTTTTTTTCTTCATTCAATAGTTTTAAGGGCCATAAACACTTTGATTAAACAGTGCTACTGTGCTTTATTTCAGGTCGGTTACACAAGAAATTATTGTTCATACTCTTGAGGATCTGACACTCGTACTCAATGTGCAACAACGTAACCAGTTTTATTCACTTCAATCAATCGTCTGAACTGATACAGTGTTCATAACTGAAGTGCAAGTCCCTGTTTTGACAACAGCTGTCTTTTGTTCTCTCTTCTATAGCTGCTAAGTTTCAATGGAGAGAAAGGTTTTGGATGTGTAATATATTAACAATTCCTTTATTCTTAATAAATCCATATATTAACCTTTTTTTTTTGTTGTTTAAACATCTATATATTAATGTACATTTTATATTGCCAAATAAAGTCTTTTTGAGATTTCCTGTTGAAAATTATAAATATCAAAGTAATAAGAACCAGTATAAATCACAAATTAAATGCTAGTAACACATTCTAGAAAAACAACCAGTAACAGCTACTGACAGCATTTCTTGACACAAACAGTCACTGTGTACAAACAAAGGTTTCACCGCCGTTTTGATCGGATACTCGGCACTAGCGTATCCCTCTCTTGATGCCCATCTTGCGCTCATATCGAAACTTGCGGATGGTGCTGTTTATAGCGCCTACGCAAACCTTCCAGTCGCTTCCGTCTTCCTCCAGCCTCATCCAGGGGAAACGCTCCAGCAGGTGCTCTGAAGAAGAGCAGGAACAGAGAACTAGTCCTTATTCAAAGCTACCTCTTTTCCACCATCCAAAGTAGCCGACTACAGTGCCGCTGAGCAGATATCTCACCTCGGAGCGCGGAGATCTTGTTGTGGTCGAGGGCCTGAATGCCGCGCCGCACCCCGCCGTACACGTTACTGCGCACCAGCACATCCTCTGGGAAGATGAACTTAATCAGGTATCGAGCGATGAGCTCAGGACGTGTTCGCAGATGTGCTGCAGACAAGGCAAACTCGGGAACCTTCACATCCCGATGAGGGGGGCCGAGATACACTGGAAAACAGAAAAATAAGAATAAGAGTGTAATATCTGGGCACAATAAACAGTTTCAGGACAGATCCAAAGAAGTAGGGCTGGGCGATATTGAATATTTCGCAATTATTTCTTGCAATTATAAAATATTAGCAATTATTTTGTCGATATCAAAGTATCACTATTTTCACAAGCTGTGTGTAAATAGTGGCACATTTACCACAAAACCAGCCATAACGGTCAATTTTTTTAAATTGATGATTTATACATCATCTGCTGAATAAATAAGCTGAAAAGCTGATAGATAAGCTTCCCATTGATGTATGGTTTGTTATGATAGGACAATATTTGGTCGAGATACAACTGTTTGAAAATCTGGAATCTGAGGGTGCAAGACTAATCTAAATATTGAGAAAATCGCCTTTAAAGTTGTCCAAATGAAGTTCTTAGCGATGCATATTACTAATAAAAAATTAAGTTTTGATATATTTACGGTAGGAAATTTACAAAATATCTTCATGGAACATGATCTTTACTTAATATCCTAATGATTTTTGGCATAAAAGAAAAATGGATAATTTTGACCCATACAATGTATTGTTAGCTATTGCTACAAATATACCCCAGCGACTTGAGACTGGTTTTGTGCTCCAGGGTCACATATATGCTGTGCATCTACCCTTCTTTTAGTGCGGGGAGATGGCGGTTTCCATAAAATTGTGGAATACATTCATGATTTCAATTTCAGTTGTGCTTTATTTATCCATTTCCTAAAGACACTCTCATTAATGCCATCGTAACATGTCTTTTGACAAACATGCAGTTTTTTTTTTAAAGTTGTCAATCAAGCAAGATTAAAATTTGTGACCTCTTGACCTCCAAGCCCAGCCCTATAATGGGAAGTACGTTTCATTCACAGATGTGATGTTTCAGACGGCACTGACCGCTGGTTGACTCCCAGTCTGTGGGCATGTTGTGATCTGTGCTGTGGCTCATTAGTGTTTCCTGCTGTTTCTGCTCCGTGTCGCTGTCGGACAGTTCAACATCAATCTCTGCCGCTGCTGCACACGTAACCGCTGTAGGTGCTGACTCGGTCCTGTTCTCAAGGTTTGCTCTTTCCTGTACCTTTAGCTGTAAAGGAAACGTATCTTAACTTTTGCTAACAAATACTGTTCCAAGAAGAATCTTGTATGATTTATGGTATTTGACAAATAACATGCTTTTTAACATCTTTTAGTATAAAATGTGTAGTTGTCATGTAAATGAATGAACAAAATGCAAAAATCCAAAAACAGGATGAATAATAGCGTATCACACACTGCTGTCACTACCACGTCAGGTACTCCAGTACAGACATGATCAATGCAAACTTGCTTTGTAGAGAACACTTTTGCTTGAAACGGGCAGAAAAGCAAAAGTAATAATAAGAATAGTTAAACATAAGCGTGGACAACTGTCAATGGGATCCATGCATTTGGGGGAAAGAGGTGGAAATAACCACATTTGCCAATGTGGAAGTGCTGCAGATAAAACTTGTCAAATGGTTTTAACTACAAAAAAATCAAAGTATTTTGTCATTTTACATTTCGTGAACCACAAAAAAAAAAAAGAAAAAAAAGGTCTGAGTGGTGATGAGTTGTTGTACAGTGTAGTTTAGTGTTGTGCACTGTTAGGAGAGTGTGGGTGTTGTGATGAACCCATCAGTTTTTGCTAAAGTTGCAAAAGTGTTACTTTTATTCTGACCTTCCGTGTCTTGTCCATGAACCGATAGTAGCGGGCCGTCGAGTTGATTACAGACAGACACATTTTCCAGTCCTTGCTTTTCTCATGAAGGTCAAATTTTGGGTATCTCTTTACCGCCCACTCTGTGGAGATCCACACATTGTTAAAACTAGCAACTTTCATGCTGCTCTGTAAACTGCATCAGATATTAATATAGAAAGCTGAGCAAGTCATTTATAGTCTTAATTAAAATTAGAGCCTTTGAAAATAATAAAATCACTGGCACAGTGTTGATTAAACGGCTTATCGAAAAGTCAGTTCTGAGAAAAGTCAGTTCTGCTTTTTAAATTTAAAGGGGTCATATGATGCTGCTAAAAATAACATTATTTTGTGTATTTGGTGTAATGAAATGTGTT